ACACACACACACACACACACATTCATAGATACCCATAAGAATGCTAAATGTAATATTTTTTATTTTACAGAATAGATTTATTTCAGTGAGGTTGGTTGCAAAGTAACTTTTTTGAAAAATAAATCCTGTTTTCCAATTGATTTTCAGTAAAAAAAAAAAATTGGAGTAAATCGGCATGGGAATGATTCTGCTCTCACAAGCTGTAAATCAGAGTGAGTAAAGAGTATTTGGAAGAGACTAGCCTGGGTGTGTTAGCCATCATGGTTCATCTTATAACTTAAGTTTCTCCTCACCTCCCCCTTTCCTTTTCAGACATCCCTGCAATTTTGCAAATAGACCTGGACTGTAATCTCAACCACTGTTCACTGAGGACTTGAGGGCAATTTTCACACATTATCTTTATTCTGGGTTACGACTGATAGTATTTGTATCTTTATTTCATCACTGAAGTTCATTTTGATTAAGTAACTTGCCCAAGATTATACCTAATAACAAGCTGGGCTGGAATGTGAACTCATAGCCATCTGACTCCAGAATCCAATCTCTCACAGGATATGATATTCAAGCTTATCTCAGAAGGTCTGAAAACACCGTAATTTCCAGGATTCAAGTTGCATAAAGTGAGGGTTGCCTGCTTTATTAATTCCATAATATTAATTCCATAAATTTCTCTGGTTTAGAAAAATTTTAAAGGACAAACTGTGGTAGAATGTGGGGTCACTGCTCAACTAGGCAACCTAAATCAAGAGGCTGGGCAACCACAAACTGGACTGGGAAATTTATGAAACATCATGGGCAGGAAAGAGCAGATAAAGGCAGTAATAATGAAAACTAAAGAGGTTACTAATAAGTTTTACATCAGGTCAGGAAAAGGAAAATTCCATTAACTCCTAACAATTTCTAAGACCATTCCTCACAGAATGAGAAGGACTGCTTCATAGACTTTTTTAAGCATCTATAAGGTTCGCCTAGCAAGAAACACCTCTGCCCAAAGTTTCTCTGCTCTCATTATCACGTTCAGAATCTCTGGAAGCTGGTAAAAGGATGTTAAATATAATATTTTTAAAGACTGGAGTTTATTGCCCATTTCCTGGAACTTCAGACTTCCCTACTCTTCCTGGAACTGCCCATTTACAGGAAAGAGTAATTAGGAAATTAGGAATCTGTGTGAGGTAATTTTCATCTTTCTGCTCAGAACCAGGACATGCTCTCCAGGCTTCCTGCTCTTAACTTCTTAGAACATGTAAGAGTATCCTGTCTAACAGGTTAAGCACTAGAATTTCAGTTTGGGAAGCAATCCTACAAAGGTGGTCCTTAGAGTCTCCTCTTGGCATGCATTTGCAGACCTGACAAAGTTCATCACTGCAGTCTCCAAACTTCCCATAAATGGCCCTGGTTATCACTTTGGTACTGTCAGTATTGTTATTGCCATCAGTGTTGTCATGGCTGAGCAGGTGACATCTCCACCAACTGTAATGAAAGTTTCAGTCCTTATGAATTTAGCTTGTTACAGTTCACAAGTCACTTTGATATCCACCTTCTCATTTTAGATTCACAACAGCCTGAGAAACAGGCAAAGAAGGAGTTCTCTCATTTTATAGGTAAGAAACTCAAGGCTCACAGAGACAATAACTAACCAAATTTCATATCTTGGTAAATGAAGATATCAAGTCTGGGAGCCAGAACTTTCCATTTCAAGACCTCTGCCCCTTCCTCACATTTTATTTGTTTATTTGAGCATATCTTCATTTGTCTGTGTAATTATTAGTTTGTTAAAGATGTTGAAGCCAATAATACTCTGATGTCATGTCCATATGCTGATTTAAGATGCCTCCTTCTCCAGGTGAATGGCCACCTAACAGATTTGGCAATCTGTTAGTCAGAAGGGCTTGACCTCTGTTTTTGTTTGTTGCTGCAGCCAAGACATTGGGTAATAACAACCGACAATAGAGCAACTACTCAACAATTAACTTTTATTATTTTTAAAAATTGACCTTGAGCTCATTAAACAAATTTAAACAGCTGTCTACACCTACACAAATTTAAGAGAAAACTGTCTTATGAAATGTTTTTAATATTAATGTTAACTAGTTATAATCTAAGTAGAACTAATTTAATATGGAGAGGAGGGAGTAACCCAAGATGTCACATCTGAATGTCACAATTCAAAATAAGGTCATTTTGTGGGCATAAGCACTCTCTCTGTGATATCCTGGGTGACTGTCTTTACTGTGAGAGAAACCCTGTTACATGGATTATAACACAAGGCATGAAGCTATTAAGAGCTAATATGTACTGCATGTCTACTATATATATGGTAGCATATTGATCTTTGTATTCCTTAATTTATTGAATTTCATTAATTAATGTTAGAGGCAGGCATCATTATCCTCATTTAATACCTGAGAAAGCTGCAGCTTGGCACTTTAGGAACCGATCCAAGGTTGCACGTTTAGAAAGATGAAGCTGAGATTTGAACCGAGCTGTCTGGCTCCAAAGTTCATGCTCTTTTTCATGTCTTACACTCTCAGTTGAGGATTGGCACAGTGGAGGATCTGAATTTTAACCTTGTATTTGCAGGGGATTACATATCTCTAGCATCAGCAGCAGTGGTAAGTTTACTTACCTTTAGGTCTGGCTTTCTTATAGCTCTATTTATGATGTACCCCTCATCTGTAAGGAGAGGGTGGTCAGGAGTGAGACCAAACGCGCTGTCTAATGCTGACAGGTAGATCCACTTTACCTTTTTCCAACAGTAAGTTTGGAATTCATCCTGAGGAAATAAGACAACAAAACCCCGGTGAAGTTAAGAAAAGTCATCAGGCTAAAATTCAAACTGAAAAAACATCATTTCAAAGTAATTCTATAAGTTTTTGGAGCCAATAAGCACTGCAGACAGAATTATGTGTCTTCGCACACTGGTAGATATAGAGTCTTGAGGGGAAAAGCCTGCCATCATTTATTGAGGAATCAGGATGTGAATGTGAGGCCCTGGCACATCTAACAGCTTGAGTGTTGGGATGCAGATTTGCAGATAAGAGCTAGTTTTCCCTGTTACCCTCCAACCCATGGGGAGCTACAGCCAGATGCAAAATTTCACACAAAAAAAGCAAACAAGCAAGTATTCTAAAGGGTTTCGTAAGTCTTTGAGGGTGAGGAAACCAGGTCACTTAAACCCATGTTTCCAGGCTTAGCTTCCATTGCACCTGCTTCAGCAGGACAGCTCCTGTAACGCCCTCTTGCCAGGTTAGCTCCACACGATTCTAACTGTCCCTCTCTTGTACTCCTAATCACTTTCTGCTTTGTATTCTCTTAGTTCTTCCAGACTATCTTGAAGATAGGGACCATGTTTAATTGTCCTTTTTATCCCTATCCATGTGGAGAACTGTGACCTGCTCAGTGAGAGCGATGAGTGGTTGGGAAATAGACTGAATGCATCCACTGCACATGCCTGAAGGTCATTGTCAAGATGCCAGCACAGGTAGAAATGAAGGTGGTGCCTTCAGGCATGACCCTAATTGAAGCTGCTGCCCTTCACAGTTCACTGATGACTTCATGACAGAACAAAACTAGAGGGCAGAGCACTGGATTGAGTAGCAGCTACTACAATGGGCCCTCCAGAGACTGATGTGATAATAACAGTGGTTATTATCTGAATAGGAAGATGATACACATCAAATGCACTAGGATGCCTGGTAAACCTCAGGAGCTAGGAAGGATGGCAAGGAGAGTCAAACAATTTGATGCCTGGGAATGCAGGCAAGAGCTAGGAACTGTCTCCACCACACCCACTTTTGCCACAAAGAGTGCCAAGCTGATGCTGCAAAAGGCCAACAGAAGACACAATAGTTGCTGTTCCTAAATCACTCGTATTGATTCCCTCAAGAGAACCTTCACCTCCATCTCTGTGCTTCTGCTGCTTCCTTAGCCTAGAACTGCATTCTTCTCTCCTGTCTTTAAATCTTCACATGACTAGATCCCACCATCCTTCAGAGTCCAGCTCAAAGTTCATATCCTGGGAACTCTCTAATTTCTATGGATGATATTTCTCTAAACCAACATAGTACTTAAGATTCTTACCACATTCTACCTCATTGCATTCCCCTTTGCCTAACCACCTTATCACTCCTCTTGGACTGTGGATAGGGACCGTGTCTGATGTGTGTCTGTGCTGCAGCCAGGTCTCGCACAGATTCTGAGAGAGAGGGAGAGAGACAGTCAGAGAGGTCATGGGAGGAGGAAAACAATGCAAAGGTAGTGGAGAGTTGAGGGGGAGAAGGAAAAGAGAAGGAAGGAGAGGGGAAAGGTGGCAGGGGCAAAATAGTAGAAATTTGAAAGTTAATTAATTTTAAAAACTCACTGTTACCCTCCTTTTCTTAAAAGAAGACTCAATGAAATCAAATAAAATTTGTATGGAGTTACCTTCAGAGCCTAAAAATGACCAAAGATGACTAAATTTCTAAGGACTGAGCCACTGAACTGATGGACATGCTCTGGGCATCATGGAATAGGCGATCAACTCCCTAGAATAACCTTGATAGAACACAGCGCTATACAGCTTTTCATTTGACCACTACAAAGAGGGCTTTGTTAGGAGGGGGATTTGTTTGAATTTCTAATAATGATAATAGTTAACATTTATGGAGCACTTTCTGTGTTCTAAGCACATAATACCACATACATATTATTTCATTTAATGCTCAAAAACCCTGTGAGGGTAGTTACTGTTTATTATCCTTCCCAATTTACAGGTGAAAAAACTAAAACTCAGTTGGCAACTATTAGAGCAGGGATTTGACCTCTTCTCCTTCCAGAGTTCCTTCTTACCCTCTTCTCTATTCTGCATTTTGTTTAAAAATACAATTTGATTAGACTGTCAGTTTTATATTCAGTCTGAACTGGGACTACCAAAGAACAAGTTTCAATGGAAAACTTGGTAAGAAAATACATAACTTGTAGATAAATGGGAACACAAATCCTAAAAGTGCCATCAAGACTAGGGACCTCTGGCCACCAAATGAGGGCAGTTAGGAAGACAACTACTCTTGATCCTCTTCAGTGAAGTGAAATGATATTAACTACTAATTTTCATATGAATACATAACAGTTTATAAAATCTGTGTCAGTTATCTTATGTTAGGCTCACAATTCTCCAAAGCCAATATTATCACCTCCATTTTACAGATGAGAAAATTCTCTGCCAGCAAGGCTCGGAATGGCTCAGGCCAGTCTGGTACAGGTAGCAAAGGACTCCTGAGACCTGAGGCCAGGCTTTCTACTCCAGATCTTGGCTCCTTCCTCTTTGTTGCAACAAGTTGTCCCATGTTGTTAGTGTTTGTGGCTCATGTGTGAGCATCACCTTGAATTCTGCAACGTGGAACAAATAGCATCCAGCTTCTCACAATCTTTGCTCTCTCGGCAGCACAGAATCTCATTCCTAATTGGGAGCTGTCTCCCTTTAGCAAACTGGCCTCTAGACTATAAAGCCTAAAAAGGAAAAGGTAAAGTGGACACTGAACTCCCAGCTCTCACAGGCCAGTGTGCCTTAGTTAGGTGGGTATGCAAGACTGAACCTCCCATCTCTGTGCCTCCATCTTGATTTCTAGCAGCATAAATAAATTCAAAGTGCTTGAATATATTTGCCTTTAAGCTCATTTCCTATCATCCTCTTTACACCCCAAGCCTTGTAACTCATAATTCTGTGTAATGAAAAGTAGAATTCTACAGGCTAAAGATAACACAGTGAGACAACCATTTTTCTTAGAGTAAGTTAGTAAGACTGACATTTCTCTTGTCTACTATTCTGTTAAAGATCCTGAAAAATCATTCATATTTTTAAAGAAATTTACCCAATTTTTAAGGGGAAAAAAAGGCAAAAAAGTGGAGGAAGTGTGTCAATGTGAAATGGTCACTCCAGGGAGCATCATAAACTTCTCTCAGTTTTTGGTTTGATGTTGTCCAATATGGAAAGAGCACAGGCTCCTACTTGAGTTCAAATATCAGCCTCAGTCTAGAAAATCATTGTGACTCTCTGTGACTAATTTCTTTATCCAGCAAGTGAGAATGATATGGATGTTTGGAGGATTAAATGTAACAATAGTTAATGTACTTGGTTCAAGGTCTGGCCCATAGCCAGATGCAATGAATGCTAGTTGCCCTATGGCTCTCTGCTTCCTTTTCTACAGTACATTGTTCCTGAGATCTTGTGATAAATAGGCACTTGTTTTCCCTTTGAGAAAACTTGAGAATCTCTGAGAGTCTCTATATTTATTTTTCCTTTCTGGGAAAGAAGCATCTTTACCTGGAAATGGCTACTTCCACTTCAGGCTGCTTTCCAAGTCTTTCAAGCAGTTAATGATGATCTGTAAGACTTAAATGCACCAGAGGAACTGACACTTGAGGTAATTGCTTTGTAATGCAAATGATCCAAACTGTTTGCCTGGCAGATCTAGACTTTTAACACCTTGAGTCTCACTGAGCAGGCTTTACTTCCTCTTTATCAAGACAATTAACCAAATCAGTCCTTGAACTCTAAAAATGTAGGATCTAAAATAACTCAAGAGTGCATTTCAAAGAACCAAATGTACACAGAGGACCTATGTTTGTGTACAAAGAGGAGGAAACCTGGGCATTTTTATTTCCTGTGGTTTTGCACTTTCTGAACCTAGAAATGCCAGACAAACTTTTATCTTTGAATGAAATGAGTGACCTTGCTTGACTTCTTCCAACCTTTTGCTATATGCACCTATCTCTTGGAATTTAAAAGTACTGTAATGGCCAGGCCAATGCTATGACTTATCCTCTTAAGTAACCCATTGCACAGTTCCAAAGAGACATTAGGAAACCAGGACTTTTCACTTGGAGATGGATAGGTTGCAATGCTAAAAGGCTGACCTCCAGCTAAGGTGGAGGACTTAGAGGATTAAGGCAGAAAGTAGTAATAATGTACATTTCTCAGGCTCTTTCTGAAACACTGTTCTACTTTAACAGACCCACAGCTTTGGCAAAATTCTATTCTTTCTATGTTTACGTATCATTTTTTTTTTGTCTTTCTCTTTCTCACCCTGGGCCAGACCCATTGACACTCTTGACACTTTGACCCCAAAATTATTTAGCTGGAAAAAGTTGACACTGGCTAGAATGTAGGATTTAGTTATAAAATACACAGAGAAAGTTCTAAGCACTGGAGAAATCTCACGCTAGTCAATTTATCAGGACTTTAGGGACATGTTAACCAAAAAAAATAAAATGAGGTGGTGGGTAGGGGAGTAGCCAATGCAGGGAAGTTATATGACAAAGACTATATCTATGTTTGTGTGCAAAAAAGGAAATCCTGAACAATTCAGCATGTTTTTGGAGAGATTGGCTTTTTCATTTGTTTCAACAGTCATTTTCTGAAGGGAGAAGGACAAGGGGATTAGCTGGATCATTGTCTGAAATATCTGGAGGTGTGTAGTAAGAAGTAATAGATTTAAAGTTAAAACTGGTTTAAAATAATGTACTGTTATCAATGTCTATGGAATGCCTACGTGCCAGCCAGGCACAGTTTTCTTCTCAGCACTTTACACGTACCACTTCATTTAGTCTTCGTGACAATGAGGTAGGTCCTGCTGTAATCCTCACTTAACAGAAAAGAAAATGGAGGCAGAGAGGAAGTAAGTAACTTGCCCATTATGGACTGAATTCCCCAAAACTTGAATGCTGAAACTCTATCCTACAAAATGACTGCATTTGGAGATAGGGCCTATATGGAGGTAACTGGGGAAATAGGGC